CACACTGCTGTATTTAGGAATAAGGGGCAAGGTGTCTGCAATTAGATTTCATACTAAAACTGTTAAACTGGGAGTTGGGAGTGTATTGGGGCAGACAGAAGGACACAGTCATGACTATTCCTATATATTGTGTATAAAATATTGCAAATTGTGCTTAGCAGTGTCTTTGAAGTCGGCCCTCATTCAGAAATCTGCAGTACTGGCACGGCAAGTGAAACTGCAAAACTGGTCCTTTAAAGGGGGTGCAGATAGGCTGGGTGTCTTGGGGCACATCCCTTAGACTCCTGGGCATCAGGTGRGGATAATATTCACCAGCCAAGACCCTGCCACGGCCAGATGTCTGCTGGGGCTGGTCCCGCTGTTTGCGGGGGTCGACCTGGAGGCCCGGGCTGGGGTCCGGCCCACCAACCCTCTCTTGCTTCACCTGGGGCGGGTGAGCAGTGGCCCTACTGCCCCGCGACCCCGTGGCTCCCCCGACAGCGCGGCCCGGCTGGGCCTCACCTGCCACCGGGTCTTCTAGGAAGGTCAGGGAGACGCCCAAGCCGGCTGCATACTGCGCGAGCGAGGCCACCGCCTGGCTTGGCGGCGGGTCCCTGAGCGGCAGGCTCAGCGGCAGGGCCGCAGTGGGGAAGTCGCCCGCRGGCCCCAACGCCCTGGGGAACCCCCCTGGGCGCACCTCCGGGTCCTCCCGCGCCCGAGCAGGCCCGGGCTCCCCGACCCCAGCCCCACGCCCCGCAGCCTGCGCGCCGCCCTCCGCGTCCGCCTCCGCGCCCGCGGCGCAAGGGGGCCCCCAGGCGTCCTGGCCCAGGCCGGCCGAGGGTCGCCAGGGACTGGGCCCGGGGCTGATCTGCAGCGAGGCCGCCAGGCGGGGCTTCTTGCGACCGCCGTCGTCAGAGGCCGCGCTGGCCGACGACGCCATGCCTGGACACGAGAAGCCGCGGACCCGATCTAGCGCCACGCGCGCTCTTCTACACGAGGGCCGGTTCACGTGGGAACACGTGGCTGACAGTCGTCTGGAGCTCCGCCCCCGGTAGCACTGGCCAATGAGAGCCCTGGAGCTGGGGGAGGGGTGCAGCGTGGCCAATGGGAAAGCCAGCCTCCCTGATCTCCTGGGCCCGAGGCGAAGGAGGCTGGAAGCCCAACGTCCCACGCAGCCGGGTGGTGGGCGTTGTGCTAGGTCGAGTGAGGGTGGGGCCCACTCCATCAGCGTCTCCAGCTTTGCGTGGGCCTGGAGGATGCGAAAACAACCGAGAGGGTCTGCGGGCTTCTCGTCCAGTTTCACACTTCAGCTCCTGTCCCAGAACAGCCCCAAACCATGGCCCCTCATTGCCCCTGAGCCTGCAGGTGTCCTTAATGAGCAGCCCCACGGAATCAGTGCCATCCACTTTAAAAGGAACCTGTAGGCCTTTATGAATCTAAACAAAATTATTTACTGGCCAAATACTCGCCCTTTGGCCCCTTGTCTTTCCCTAGAAGGGCTTCTGAGTTGTAGTGCTTTAAGGTGAGGGGCGAGCGGGAGACAAAAGTAAAGATGAAGCCAGGGATGAGGACAGTTTACCTAAGGCCTGCCAGGATGCGAGACACAGTTGCTGAGGTGGGCTGCCCCATCACTCTGACTCCTCAGCAGCCAGTTACTGGGAGAGCGTGACCCCAGCTCAGGGTGTGGAAGATCTGTGGTGGCTGCTGCTGTAGCTTGAACTACTGATTCTGAAATCGCCCATCAGGATGTGACACTGTGGACGCTGAAGACATAGGAGAAGAGTTGGTGAAACAGGAACTTCTGACTTCAGAAGAGTGGGTGTGGCTGGCTGGGGAGTCTTCTCCTCCCACACTTTTCAAAGATGGGCATCAGCAAGAACAATTCCATTGTGTGAGGCAGGCGGCCCAGAGAGTGGAATAAGGCTTGGGGCTGATCAGACAGTGCAGTAGGTGTTCAGAAATGGCTGCGCGCATCTACAGAGCCTTGAGCGGAATTGCCAAWCCCAGATACCTCCCCAATGCCTACCTAAGGAGGGTGGTGAACGAATGGTGACAGTCATTCAATGGAGGATTAATAACTGAAAATTCGCTCCTCCTCCTCAAGGCCAACCCAATAATGAAGACGAGGTCTTAAGGAAAAGGTTTATTGCTTTGCTAGCAAAGGAGAAACACAGGACTCCTGTGCCAAAGACTGTGATTTTCCCCAACAGCAGGAACAGGGTTTTATAGAGGTGATTCAGAGAAAATGAGAATAAGGAGGAGAGTTCAGAAGGAAGTTTAGGGAAAAGAAGATCAGGGAAGAGAAGTTTAGGGAAAAGAACATTGGGAAAAAGAAAGAAACGTAAATTTCAAAGCCACAAAGGATATAGCCACAGCATCAAGTGAACCCCGATTACAGTTACTTAAAAAGAAAGTACTGCTGCATGCACAAAACTGTAATGATTTTGATTTGTAATGATTCCAACTCTGTAAAGTTCTTGAAATGGCAAAATTGTGATAAAAGTCACAATCGTGGTTACTCTGTGAAAGAGGGATTGATGGTCAGCAGCTCCAGGGGATATTCTTGAGTGACCATGGTCTCTCTTGATCCAGGAGGTGATCACATGAGTTTATACCTGTGTAGAGACTCAATGAACTGCTCACTGAAGACGTGTGCACTTCACTGCATGGTAAATATGTTAGTGAAGACAAACTGGTTAAAACCCAGAGAAAAGAAGAAAGGAGAGAATACAATTGGACACACAGATTGTCCACATCCTAATCCTAAGAACCTTCTAATATATGTTTTTTTGGCAAGGGGCAATTAGCTGACTTTAAAATAGAGGATTATCTTGGATTATCTGGACATGATCAATGGAGTCCTTAAATGGGCAACAGGGAGATAAAGAGTCGTGAGAAAGAGTCAAGAGGCCACACTGACTTTGAGGATGAAAGGGGACTGAGCCTAGGAATGCAGGTGGCTTCCGGAGGCTGGAGAAGGCAAGACCACAGCTCCTTCCCTTAGAGCCTCAGTAGGCACACAGACCTGCGGACACCCTGACTTAGCCCATGAGATGTGTGTTGGACCTCTGACCTCCAGATCTGTAACACACCATGCTGTCTTGAGCTGTTAGGGCTGTGGCAACTTGGTACAGCTGTAGTAGGAAACTGATCTAACCGGTCTTCAGTTATTTTGCATACATACTCCCTAAAATAATTCTGAAAACCTGTGTAGCCCCAATTTTTAATCACAAATTGAAACAGTTACAAAAGCTGTAATTCATGATTTACTGTTAAAATCATCCTGTATATTTCCTCAAAACCATTGAAAAGACCCCCGTTTCCCTGTCCAAGGAGAATCACACAAAACACTGGCTGCAAAAAGCAAGAGGTGATTTATTGGGACACAGGCGCCTGCGGGTGCCCAGCAGAACCTCAGCCGGAGCTTTGGTGAGCTGGCACACCGGGCTTGGGGATACAGAGATTTTTATAGGGTAAAGGGGCWGTTTTCRYGCRSGRKAAACAATAGGTTTCTTATTGGTTAATTTTAAACCCAGCATATAGGCTACCTAAAGGGCAAAGTTGTTTTTCACTTCATGTTACTGGAAAAGCCACATAAAAGTTACATGTTAGCACTCTGGTCCTCCTGTTGCTGCTCATTCAGGCATGCCTAGGGACCTGGTCCTTTGTCCTTTCCCAACCGGTTACACCTAACTAATTGTCTGAAAAACACCTCTGGTGCCTGCGTAGGTTTGTGACATGCCTCGGTGGTTTTGCAACTAGGCCTGAGGTTGTTGGGCTGGGGTCTTTCACCATAGAGATGTATAAGCTCATCCCATTTATGAAATATTCACGCCCAGGTGACTTATTTGGAAAGCCCATCTCAGTGTCAAAAGACAGATAAATCAGACTTCCTATTGGAAACAGCCTGACTTCATTTTGTTCAATCTAAATAAATTTTTTTTTATTTTTCCTGAACGACCCTTTCATTTCATTCTGTTATCAATTCAATATTTATGAAGCATCATCTGTTTCTTGGATAACTAAGAAGGCCATGGCCTGACCAAGTTCAAAATCTTGATAAGGCGTCATGGCCTTTTCTCTTTCAAAAAGACTTTTTATGGAACTATAACATCCCTATAGAAAAGTACACAGATTATTAGTGAGTCTTCACAGGCTGAACACGACCAGCCACGCTCAAATGAAGAAATGATGTTGTCAGGCCCCMAAGCCAGCCTCCTGCACCCTTCCGTCCTCACTTGCTGCTGAACTTGTTTACTTAATACCCCCTGTAGGAGGTCTGCTGTTGAGAAGAACCTCTTGTGCAGTGCTCATCCTCGGACAATGCTCCATGAAGGGAACACAGCGACTGGGAAAGGGAAGACGGGAAAGGACCATCTGACTCCAAGGAACTCCCTGATGGAACCCGTGTAGATGGAAGCTGAGAATCTGCAAGTTGATCCTTCAAAGCGGTGGTTCTCAAACGGTGGTACCTGGACCAGCACTATCAGCCTCACCTGGGAACTTTTTAGAAATGCMAACTACGGTGCCACATTCCAGACCTACTTAAGACACGGTTAAACTGGCGCTRCAAGTGGCTCTGTGATTGGACCCTGAGTCTCAAAGCCTGGCCCTCAAACAGCGTCAGCATCACCTGGCAACCTCCCAGGTGCCGACGCTCACGTTGGAGACCCGCTGTCTGAAGCGCCCCCTGCCGGGATGCCCCTGGCACAGCGTCGCCTCCTCCCGGAGCATCTCTTCCTCCCTCCATTGGTAAAGCCAGTGCAGTGCCTGGCCCAGAGTGCGTGCTCAGTGTTTGCTGAATCACGTTAACCCCCTCACAACCACCTATGCGATAGAAAGCTGGTGAAGCCGAGCTGGGATTCGAATCCAAGTCAACTCGGCCGCCAGCGCGGGGACGCGGACTTCCTTCTATCGCTCACGCGCYGCCTTCACGCGCGTCTACCCTCTGCGCGGCAGGCGGCGCTCGAGGACGCGCGGGGGCGGGACTTCCTGTCTCAGGGAGCACTTCCTGCCGACGCGGAAAGCGGTGGGCTGCTGCGGSGGAGCGGTCCCTCTGTGGGCTACGGCGCCCCGGCTCCGCTTTCTCGCTCGAGAGTCCGGCGGGAGTCGCGCGGATCACCTTCCCAGACAGGCACCCGAGGCGGCCGCGTAAGTGCGCGCGCATCCCCGTTTCGGGCTCTGCGCCTCCGCCCTGATGCGCCCGCGCCGGGCTCGCCCTGGGTACGCACGTGCTCGCGCGTGCCCAGTGCTGCCCTGGGCGGGCTGTAGGGGGCCTTCCACCGGCGCCCGACCCCTGGTCTCGGGTGGCCACCCGCGCTCTGGCAGGACGGCAGCTGGGGAGCTGCCAGAGGCCTCCCTACCTTGGAGGCTGAAGGACTTTGTAGGGGCAGAGGGAGGGTCCGGGGTCTTCTCTTAAGCCCAGAGTTTGTGCAGAGGCCCTGTGGTGAGAAGCARCATGGTGAGAGGTCAGTGTGGAAGGAGCCCGGGCACTACAGTTCACCGGGGACCTTTCTAGTGTGTCTTCCCATTTATTGGGAATAATTCTGCCACTCCCCGAGGCTGTTCTGCACAAGGACTCACTGATCACTTCCTTTTGCGTTCCACCGGCTCGCCTGTCCCGCACCCACCCCCAGAGATAAAGGAAAATGATAGCAGCCAGGCCAGGGACTCGGGAATGGGTCAGGTACCGCCCCATCTCTAAGAGCCCTCATAGCCGGCAAAGGAGATGAGCACACAGATAAGCTGCAGTGGGACCGGAGGATCGCGAATTCTTTCCTTGACAGTTACTGCAACAATGTGACAGCTCTGCACAGTGCKGAGGTCCATGCATGTCCAGAAGCTACAAAATAAACTGATAAAATGCATCAGGGGTTCTACAGGGAGAGATGTTTGCTTACTCAGATTCTGTTGCTAGAGTTTGCTTGCGGATGCTTGTCCCTGATCCTTGGTTTGCCGAATTCCACAGTAGGGGCAATAGGAGAATAACACACTTAGCCCCGTATCTAACATGCTGGCACTTAGTGCTRCTATTTTTGCTAATAAAAAAAGAGGAATGATGGGGCTACTGATACTTTTGTGATTATCAAATCCCCTTGATGTCCACTTCTCTGTTAGACACTGCATTTTCTGAGATGCACTGTGCTTTAACAGTGGGAAGACAGAAGAGTGATTCTCAGTTCTGGTTTGGGAGTACTGAAGCTTAGTTTGGGGAGTATCGTCTGCAGATGTCTGGTTACAGTCCATAAGGGCTGTGGCGGAAGCAGACCTCACCCCTCCTATCTTCATCCTCCTCCACTCTCCTCCTGGTGCATTTTCTGTTTCTCACTTTCCTGCTCCAAGGCTTTCAATTCACGCTTGCTGGTGTTCATACCTGCAGCCCTCTTCCCAGGTGTGCACCTGGCTGTCTCACTCCTCAGGTTACTGTACCCAGGTCACACCTTGCCTGTCACCACCCCCTTCCTTGTGGAAGGCAGGTGGTTTTCCTGTGGCCTTCCTTATCTGCTTCCTCAAAGAAAGTGCATTCCTTGAGGGCACTTTTGTTCTCCTCAGGAATCCTGGAAGCCTTTTCTGGAGAAGGYGGGTGTGACGTGGTGCTTGTTTTTTGCAGGATGGATTTCCCCAGATCCCTGTGTCCCTCATTGTTTATGGCTGGTCCCCTTGGTMTGAACGATGCCCCTGACCTGTCCTTCATGTGCAGCTGGAGAGATGCTCTGACGCTGCCAGAGTCCCAGCCCCACGATGCCAAGGTGAGGATGGAAGTAGGGYGCTGACAGCTGTGGGTGGGCCCCTTCACTTGGTCCTCACATTAGTATTCATACCCATTGGCACAGCTCGAGTGGGGTAGCTGTTGTTAAGCCTTAGGAGCACAGTGTGACTAAGTCAGACCATCCCGCCCTCATGGAACTGAGGGTCCGGGTGAGTGAGTGTCTCCAAGTGAGAAGAGCAGTGGATAGGATGACCACAAAGTGTGAGCACAGCTCTGAGCAAAACCAAAGGGATGCTAAAGTTGGCGGGGGGAGATCTCCCCGCATTCTGCAGGTGCCTTGRGAAGGCCATGCCAGGCAGAGACAAGTAGGTGAGAGAGAGGGGCAGGCAGGCGGGACAGTCCAGGAGGGGCTTTGAACAGGCCGGTCTGGCTGGCCAACCAAGTGGCAGCAGGTGTGGCATGCGGGCGCCTAGTGCTGCTGTTTTTGCTAATAAAAAAAAGAGGAACGAGGGGGCTGCTGATGCTTACTCCCAGAGTGAGCACTCTGACCTGGAAGGGAGAAGCAGTGGGGTGGGGTCAGCCGGCGATGCTGCAGGGGACTTCCTTGAGAGCCAGTGCCGGAGGAGATCAGAAAGGAACTYTGGAGTCAGTCTGCCAGGTTTCCATCCCAGCTCTTCTGTATACCAGCTCTGTCACCGAGGGCAAATGACAGTCGCTCTATGCTTCAGTTTCCACATCAGGAGAATGAGACACTTGTGCCACCTTTGTGGGGCTGTGGTGGAGACTGGATGAGTTGTGAGACAGGAGCCTGCAGGTGYTGGCCCAGGGTGTACACTTATGTGCCACTGTGGTGTGTTTCCTCCAGAATGCCATCCCTCGCCTGGCCAAGGACCTGCTCTGGGAGCCGTTGGCACCTGGGCCTCTGCCCCTGATGCCTCCTGGTCCTGGTAAGGCCCTTCTTCTGGTCTCTCCTCAGCTGCCCTTCTTGTCGCTGCTCAGCCCCACCTCTTCGTGCCTAGACCCTCCACGGCCCTCACTGGTCTGCATCCCTGGGGCCTTTGGTGACCTCCATCACCTGGCCCACCTTGGTGCCCTACCTCTATTCTTCCTCAGACCCCTGGGACCCTGGTGTGACTGCCCAGGACCTCCTTTTCCGAGGAGGTCGCCACTACCGGAGGCAGCCCCAGGTTGTACTGGATGTGACTGAACAGGTGAGTGTCCCCCAGCAGGTGGTGCTTCCTGGCCGGGGGCTGTGCGTCGTGACCTGGTGCTTCCTTCCCCAGCTCAGCCGATTCCTGTGGGATCATGGGGACATAGCCTTTGCACCCCTGGGGAAGCTGATGCTGGAGAATTTCAAACTGGAGGGTACCYGTGTGAGTAACCCCGCCAGCCTGGGAAGGGCACCCTGCCCCCCTCACTCTGGATCCCCGGGTATGTGAGCTTGACAAGGCCTTTCCGTGCAGAGCCGCTCCAGGAAGATGACAGTGGTCACTGTGAAGAGGCTGCTCCAAGACCTTGGTGGACACCAGCCCTGGGGGCAAGTGGCTAGTGAGAAAGCTTGCTGGGTGGCCTAGCTGGTGACAGGCCTGTGGAAGGCGCAGTTTCCCTCACGGTTCCTCCCCTGCCCACGCACTCCGGCTCCAGCTAGCCTGCCAGAAAGGGGGTTCAGGTCCATGGGCCTCGGGCATGCCTGTGCCCAGGCGTTCAGGGTTGATGGGCTGCTCTCTGGATCGTCTTACCTGCTGCCCTCTGCCCGACTTAATTCCTAGAAAGACTGTTTTCAAGTGGCACCATGAGGGCTCATGAGTCCAAAGAGTCAGTGTCCTTCCCGAGGCACCAGAAGGACTTTGGTGACTTGGCCAGGGTCTCACGCCCACCTGTGAGCCAGTCACTGTACAGCAATGAAGTGCTCACCCAGGTTGGGCCACGGGACTGCACCTTGCTTGGGGGAACAGGGAGGGTGGTTTCCCAAAAAAAAGACATTCTAGGTAGAACTGTGGACTCTGCACCTGACCTACCTCGAGTCCCCATTCCTCCTCCTCCTCTGCCCCATCGTGATCCTCTGCCATCCCTAGGTGTCCCTGGGCATGGATCAGCCACCGGCAGCGTCGCTTCTCCATCCTCGGGGGCCCAGTGCTTAACAAGTCGGTGTCCAGCCTCCTGGGYAAGCTGCTGCATGAGGAGCTGGCCCTGCGCTGGGAGCAGCTGCTCTTAGACGATGCCTTCACTGGGGGTGCCTTGGCCTGGGTGCCCGGAAGGACAGCCCGGGTGGGCCAGCTGGTCTACCCTACAGGAGGTGCCCTGGACAAGCTGTGTATCCTTTATGCTGGTGGGAGAGTCAGCCCGCCGCCCCCCCCCCCAGTGGTGAAGGAGGTGCTCCTGGCATGGTCCATGGTGAGGGRCAGGACCTGGGGGCTTGTGGTGCCCGCTCACTGATCCTTAGCCGAGGCTCAGGTTTCCAGGAGGTCAGTCTGACCTCAGGAGGCAATCCTCGGGTCTTTGGGGACCCTGGGTACATCCAGCTGCGCGGACCTGTCCGGCAGGTGGCGACCTGCACCGTCCAGGGAGAAAGTAAGGCCTTCAGGCACCTCCCTCCATGGCCGAACCACTGCTTGACCCTGAGYCTGACCTCTCCGTCCTCTCCTCAGCTCTGCTGGCCGTCCGCTCTGATTACCACTGTGCCATGTGGAAGGTCAGCAGGCAGGGGCCGCCAGCCCCGCTGCAGACGCTGCAGGTCGAGAAGGGGGCCACGGGGATCAGTCTCAGGTGAGGATGAGTCAGCTGTTAGCAAGGTGAGCCTGGGAAAGGCCGGGTTTCCTGAGGTGACATCTCACTGTGCCCTTAGCCCGCACCTGCCCGGGGAGCTGGCCGTCTGCAGCCGTTCTGGAGCCGTCTGTATGTGGACCCCTCAGGATGGGTAATTCCCCTTTCCCAAAAAACACTGCACCCAACCAACAGACCCAGGGCCCACCATCTTGATCCAAGGCCAGGTCATCCCTGTTTTTTTCTCCAGCTCCTTGGTACCCCCAGACCCCCGCCCAACAGCTTGCCCGTCTCTTCAAGGCTGCAGCAAGTCTACAAAGACCCTGAGACCCTTGTGTTCCGGGACCCTTCTCCCTGGCGCTGGGCAGACTTCACCGCCCACCCTCGGGTGCTGACAGTGGGTGACCGCACTGGAGTGAAGATAGTTGACACTCAGGTATGGGGGAGGGGTACAGAGAGTCTTCCACCCCCCATGGCATGAGAAGCAGCCYGGTGAGCCTGGTGTTCCTCCCTGGACCTGGAGGAGGCTGACCCTGTGTCCTCCCCAGGGCCCRCCAGGCTGTGGACTGCTGCTTTTCCGTGGAGGGGCAGAGGCCTCCTGTCAGAAAGGAGAACGTGTCCTGGTCACCCACTATCTGGGGCAGGCCAGCTCTGACTGCCTCCCTCCCACCCTCCATCTCGTCTGTACCCAGGTGAGCAGCCCCCAGCCTCACGGGGTCTCTGTGTTTGCTGGAGACCTGTCAGCCCAGAGTCACAGACCCTGAGAGCTGAATGTGGCCTAGACAGCCCATGGGAGCAGCAGGTGGGATGGCCTCAGGGGTCTGATGGGCTCCAGGGTGGGACAGAGCATCTGTGCAAGGACACAGCCCCTGCTCTGCAGGGCTGAGGAACAGGTCTGAGGTATCTGAAGCTCTGCCCTCTGCCTGCCTGTCCCCCGCCAAGGACTCCAGGCGTTAGCTGTGTCTCTGGCACAGATTCCAGGGTCAGAAAGGCCAGGTGGGCTTCTGAGAAGACGTGTACCCACTGTGTCATCGATCTGCCCATTCAGACTGGCAGTGGCACTGCTTCTTCAGGACTTCAGGGCTGGGCAGGCGAACTTAGGGGCCCTTGAAGGCTAGTCCGAGTGCTGCTGCCCCTGGGGTTTGTACCCATCCTGAGGGCCACGTGTGCCTAGAAAGGGCCCCCAGACACCATCTCCACCCCCACCCCCATCCGTCCCCAGTTCTCGCTCTACCTGATGGACGAGCGCCTCCCCCTCGTGCCCGTGCTGAAGTGGGACCACGGCCTCCCTTCTCCGCCCCTGCTCATCCGCCTGCTGCCTCMCCCCGGCCCTGGCTTGCCACAGCCCTTGCTCCTGGGAGGCCAGGGGGGGCAGCTTCAGCTGCTGCACCTCACAGGTGAGGTCTGCACRGGTGGGAGGGGTGCAGGAAGATGCATGGGGCTGGGGCCTGCTGTGGCCTCAGCTGTTGCCCTTCCTCCAGGAGCGGGGTCCTCCACACCCCGGCTGGCAGGGCCCCCCCAGTCTCTTCCCTCCAGGACCGATTCCCTCTCCGCATTTCCTCTTCTGGAACCCAAGAGCCAGGGGCAGTTGCAGGAGCGTCTGGAAGCACCAACCATAGGTGTGCTGGCGGGGCGGGGCACCAGCTTGGGGACAGTGCAGAGYCCTGCCAGGGCTGGCAGGTCACGGGGTCTTCCTTCCCCAGGTCTGGCCGCCACTGTCGCGCACTGTGCCTCTGCACCAGTCCTGTCCGTCTTCCAGCTCTCCAAGGCKGGGGACGTCTTCTCCCAGCCTYTCCGCCTCCACAGAGACMCSGAGCCTCCCAGCGACCCGGAGCCTGGGCCCGCCTGCCCTGCACCCAAGGCCACGGCATCRCCCCAGGACCCACCTCCCAAGCCTCTCGCACCTTCCTGGAGCCCCCAGGCCATCGCCCGCTGCAGCCRCTGGCTAGAGGCCCTGCTGGAGGTGCCCCCTGCCCCGGCTGTGTGGGCTGCACCCACCTTCTCCCACCGCCGGCTGCTGGGCCGCATGGAGCCGCAGAAGGATGCAGGGAGAGTGCCACAGGGACTCCGGGCGGCCATGGCTGAAGGGCGGCTCCTGCAGCAGAGCGACCTGGGCGCGCTGCCCCGGGCAGAGCCGCCCCCCGCGCCCGAATCAGGCCCACAGGATGAGCTTACCCAGCGCTTGGGGGCAGCCTGGGAAGGCCAMGGGGCTGCCTGGTGGGAGAGGCGGCAGTTCAGGGCCTTGGAGCCTGAGGGCCGGGCCAGGCGGCCCAAACGCCGGTCTCAGCTGTCCAGCACCTTCTCCTCGCTCACCAGCGGTTTAGATCTCCCAGAGGCCAGCAGCCCTCCTCACAGCCCAAACCAGGCGTCCTCAGAGACTAGGCCTCACTCTACAGGGACACTGCACTCCCAGGAGTTGAGTCAGGAGCCATGGACCCAGGGCATCCCCTTGGAGCGGCGGCAAACCCTCCGGGACTACATGGCCAAACTGCCACTTCAAAATGACACTCAAGGACATAGCCCAATACCCCCCACCCAGGCCCCCAGTGCCCAGCCCACCCCCTCCCAGCAGCACACCCCTGTCCTCTCCGGCTCTCGGCCCCCCAGGAAGAAGGCACGCATGGGCTTCTGAGGCACTGGTGAGGCTCCTTCTTGTGCCCAGGTCAGCAGGGCCTCCCCAGGGACGGCAGGAGATGGGCCTCCCCAGGGACGGCAGGAGATGGGCCTCCCCAGGGAYGGCAGSAGATGGGCCTCCCCAGGGCCCAGAGTCTTCCAACTCCTGAAGGCCCTTGTGGGAGGCCCAGCAGTGAAGTAGGCCCACGTCAGAGGAGTAGGCAACAGAATGGCCTACAGATCTTTCTGGAGGCCAGAGGGAGAGGGAGCACAGTGGGGCAGGGGCCGACTCTGTTGGAGGCTGGGCTCTCCCACCACTCTTGTTCCCCACCCCATGGAAATGGCAGCAGCCATGTTCCCCTTGTTGGGTGGGGGGGGTAGGGCGAGGCCCAGGAGCTGTGAGTCTGCTGCCGGATGGCCTGGTTTGTGAGCAGCTTCCCAGGGAGGTGCTTTCGGCTGAACACTTGTGCTGGGTGGTGCTCCTGTGGGTGGCTCCCTGTGCTGTGGGAATGCCCATTGGAGAGGGCAGGCACCGGGCTGTGGCCCTGCTGCGGATCACTCTTGGAGGGTCTTTCTCAGTATCTGATGGACCAGAGGGAATTGCCKGTAACTTGCAGGAATATGGCTGCTAAAACATTTATTATGCTAATAGCCTAATTACACAGTGTATACTACAGGTAACGGGGAGTTGACACATAGCGTGGTGCAAAGGACAGGAGCCTCCATCTCGGCAGGCTGCAGCAGCAGTACTTGAGTAGAGGGGGTGACCACGCCTGCTCCCTGACCCCATGAGTCTGATGGTACAGGGGCCATCTTGGATTCAGTCCAAGCCAAATTCAATGTCCTCCCGGCCTGTCCCCCCACCGGACTCCTCRTTCTGCTCTTCATTCTTTCCTGTCCAGTCTGCTGAAGAGAGAGGCCGGTGGGGATTGGAATGGAGCCTGCCTCTCCTTCCTGCCTGCAGGCCAGGCTGCCCGGCACTGTCCCCTCCCACCTCCATCTCCTGAGCAGGACAGCAGGCATGGGACCTGTCACCTGTGTGCAGTGTGGAGCAGGCACACCTTCGTGCCAGCCTAGCGCTGCCCAGCCTCCACAGCCCCTCCAGAAGCCATGGTCTGGAAGGACCAGGAAGGGTGGGGTGATGAGAGGGTATGGAGGTGCAGGCTCCTYGGCCCCCCAGCCCTGCGAAACCCCCACTAGGGACTGCATGCCTGGTGATAAAGTGATGTGCAGGTCACTGCCCAAGAATGGTACATTGGGGGCTTATCCAGGTGAGGCCCACAGCAGAGCTTCAGTCACAGACTTGGAGATGTGGTCTGCAGAGGTTTCCTGGTGTGKCCCTGTGGCCCTTCCCAGGAACCTGGGATTCCCAGGGCCAGCTCCCTGGGCCCACCCAGCCTTCACGGCTCAGCATGCCCAGCAGCGCTGTGGACCTGCAACGCAGTGGCCTTACCTGATGGAGGGGCTGCRGGGAGGTGTCTGTCTCCACTTTCGCTGGAAGGAGCAGAAGCAGCGTCGCTCCAGCAGGAGGGCACGAGGAGTTGGCTTGAGGTCTCRTGGCCACTAATCTCCTGAATAAGCACCCTTGGGGACTCGGGGACTTGACGTGGGGTTCCCAAGGCCTTTATAGTTTCTTTCTTAAGTATGTTTGTAAAAGGGGTCTCGGCCTCCTTCGAGGTACCTCTAGAGACTGCGAATATGTGTGACTGGGTGTCTGTGGGCCTGCTGTCCAGCTCTGGAGACACATTGTCCAGGTCATGGTCACCGTTGTCACGTAAGCTCGAAATGGCCTCAATCTTTGGAGAGCACCTTTCCTGTTGAGAGAAGGGTGTCTGAACACTTACTCTGCACTAGTCACTCCACAGTCAAGTGGCAGCAGTGGTCACCATGGCGCAGGAASACCCACAAGAACACTGGAGCCTCAAGTGGACCCTCCGGGGTCAGCAGCTCCTGCTGAGTACCACAGCCAGTGCCCGCTCCTGTCCAGCCCTCTGCCTGGTCTCCACACTGCACCCCTACCAGACAGCCCCTAAATGACAGCCTCATGCTGGCCCTGCCTGGTGTCTTCCTGAGCCAACCTTGTCCACCAGTCTCTGGGACTTCACTCCTGGACATCAGTACCCTGTGGTAACCGCAGTCTCACGTGCCCGTTACCTTTGGTGACCTCTGATGCCTCCCTCCCTTGTAGCCCAGGTCTGGCACCCTTGAGCTCTGAGTAATACCCAAGGGARGAGGGCAGGGTCATTTGGGGAAAATTGCACAGGGCACCTCATCYAGTGCCCCCCTGATCTGCCTTCTCTTTTCCTTCCCTCCATCTGCAGCTGTCCCCATCAGGGAAGTTCAGGAGGTGGAAATGCACCATGGACAGAAAAGTGCTCCGGGTAATTACATCAGTGTGGTTACCACCATGAGCAATAAACACATGCAGGAAAGCCCCTCGGCTGGTGATGGCTGGTGATTAAACCTCAAAGGAAACCGAGCAGGAACCACCACTAGCTGCGCWTCCTTCAGCAAGGAGGCCACCTGGGTGCCAGTGCTTCAGCACGAGCACACCTGGCTTTCGGGGGACAGACTTGTGCTGTGTCAATGGCAGGCACAAACACGGGAATTTCTGACTGTGGAGAAGTGTGTACTGACAACCTTGTCCTGGACTTCCAGAGATGCGCCTGTGTCCTCCACGTCTTCCAGGTCCGGCAGGTCCTGAAAGAGCCAAGAGCTGCACATCACCAGGGAGGCCCACGCTCCCAGCATCCCAAAGGCAAGACAGATGCAGACAGAGTGCAAGTGAAGCCTTGCTTCCGAGCAAGCCAAGGAATGGTCTCTCAAAGCCAAGACCAGGCGCCCAGGTCTCWTCACAAAAGTCCACTTTGCACATGGCCACTTAAACGGACATTTAAAGAATGTCCCCACCTTCTCAGGAAACAATGGAACCCAAGTCGAAAGTACCTCTGTAGAAATTAGTCCTTGGGCCCTGTGTGGCACACAAGTCCCTCCCTTAAACTGGTGAGTGCATGTGTCTGTGTGTGTCTTCATCACAGCACCCACCTGTGTGCGGGGGAGGGGGCAGAGTGTGTGGGACCACGCAGGAACTCGAGAACATACTGCCTGGGTTAGTGTTCCCACGCCACATTGCCTAGCTGTGTGGCTTTGGGAAAGTGGCTTAACCTCTCATTTCTCAATTTCCTCATCTGTAAATTTGGGATGATGATATTGGAAATATTAAATCGATTAATACAAATCATGCTTTGACCCATGCCATGCATAGAGTAAGAGCTCAATAAATACCGGCTATTTTTTTTTTTTTAAGAGAGAGTGAGAGAGGAGAGAGAGAGAGAGAGAAAGAATTTTTAATATTTATTTTTTAGTTCTCGGCGGACACAACATCTTTGTTGGTATGTGGTGCTGAGGATCGAACCCGGGCCGCACGCATRCCAGGCGAGCGCGCTACCGCTTGAGTCACATCCCCAGCCCCAAATACCGGCTATTGATGTTGAAGTTCTGTATACTGTCAGCTCTCAAATATTAGAAATTGGCTAATTTTTTTCTTATTATATATATAGGTYTGGAAAACTCAGAAGCTCACTGAGAATATTGACTATGATTAGTTTAGAGTTGTGAAATTTTGAAATTTGGGCACAAGAAAAGAAGCACCCATTGGGAGTTTTAACAAGGGAGTGGGCAGGGGGGCAAAGGCCGGGTCTTGGGCAAGTTGTGGCACTGATGTCCACGGCTGGGCTGACACCACCCCAGCTCTTCCCCCTTAGTTCTTGGTCATGCGGCAGTGTGCGCCCCCGGGGTCCCCTTTCATGTCACCCACATAGGAGGAGCTTCTGGTGGGACATGCCAGGCAGCCATCCAGCATGCACCACACCAGCCCAAGAGGACGGTGACGAGCCAGCAGGTAACAGGTGCAGAGAAGAGCCAGTGGGAGCAGGAGGGGCTCCCTGGGCACGGACAGGAGGACTGAGGGCCCCAGCGGTCAGAGTGGAATTCCAAGGCTGGCTGGACAGCGCCGCTCTGCAGTGGGACCCCTTTGGTGGAGTTTGACAGCTACAATTCAAGGGGCCGTGGGGCCAGCGTGGCCCCAGCCTGAGTGCCTGGGTGTGCGTCTCCTAGTGGCAGTCATTCTAAAGGCCTTGTTGGGCGGCAGTTCTGGGGGGCCCCTTCTGAGTTTCTGGAAGTGCTACACCTGCTACCAAGGACCACGCTAAGTCACAAGGCCCACAAGCTGGGCTTCACCCCGCTTTACCAACTGTGCGCCCCCACTGCCCAYGGTGAAGCGCTCCACGTACATCCATGAAGAACTTCTGGGCCTCTGGCTTCGTGGTGGCTGAAGCTTCAGTTCCAGGCCCACTGAGTTCCATCACCAGCACACCTGCAGTCTCTGCCACCTGGGAGGCTGACTCTGGGGAACGAGGGGGCAGCCATTAGCCCTGGCTTGGTTCATACCCAGTGGTCAGACGGCCAACCCCAGGTGAAGGTAGAAGGACAGAAACCATCCTTGGTTGCAAGGGGCCAGCACCTGTGACCAAAGCCACAGAATCCTCAGCCACGGCCAGGGTTATGTCCCCTAGCTGAGAGAGGACAGCATGCTGCTGTCCCTTGGGGGCAAGGACCAGCTGGGATGTGATGTAGAAGGAACAGAGACTGGAAAGGCAGCTGGGCGGGTACACAGTAGGGAGGGGGGGGCTCGGTGGCAGAGCGCTCGCCTAGCCTGTGTGAGGCCCTGGATTGGATCCTCAACATCACATATAAATAAACAAACAAATAAGTAAGTAAAAGATCTATTGACAAACATTTTTAGAGAGGCCTCACATCCTGCTCAGGCCACTGCCCATCTCCCCACCCTAGAGACTGGGAGTGTGCCAGGGTGGCTCATCCAGAGGGGCCAAGGGGAAGTCTGGGTGGGACTGTCCCTGGCCACAGCACATATGGCTATGAGTACTCAGAATGTGGCCAGGGTGGGTTTTTCATTTTATTTTACTGCTTTACTTTTAATTAACTTTAATTGAAAATTTAAAGTGGAAGTAGGATAAAATGCTGTGTTGTTCTGGTAGGACCCGTTTCCCTTCAGCCACTGAAAACTCAGCACCCCCGTCGAGGTGTGCAGTGGCACCCACACACTGGATTTGATGACCTTGTCCACAAAGCTGTGTGCAACATCTCATGSAGAGCCTTATGTGCATTTCCAGACATGCTGGGTTGAGTGAAGCATTGGGAATAATGTCACCTGTGGTGAACKGTGTCACCTGTTGCCTTTTGCATTTGTAATGTGCCTCCTCTTGTGATGGCCGCTGCATTTCCACCCAGTGCTGCTCCTCTAGAGAAGAGGCCACTGCAACCCGGCCTTCTAGAAGCAGCATGCAGGRGGCGGCCACGCCCAGCAGGGCAGAGGCCGCAGCGCCTTACCTCCCCTGGCTGCTCCTGGGGGTGCTGGGGCCTGCACGGGAAGGCTCCCCACTGGCTCCTCGGCTTCCGTCCCCTCTGCAGGCCACCCCTCTCCTCCACTCGGCTTCTCTGGGAACAGCTCATCCTTGGCCTCGAAGCTTTCTGTCACAAATAACTCCATTTTCTGTTGTGTTTCTCCGTCCTGTGGAGCCTCCTCCTTTCTGTCCCCACTGTCTGGAGATGGCTTCTCCCCTAAACGGGGAAGGAAGAGGTAGACTTAGACGTGCCTGGAGGACAAAGGGGTCTGGGGGCCTCTGGAGCAGGAGCAGCGGGGAGGAGTGGGTGCTCTTAAGAATTACCAGTGGGGGAGGCTGGGGTTGGGGCTCCGTGGCAGAGCGCTCRCCTAGCACGTGTCAGGCCCTGGGTTTGATCCTCAGCACCATATAAAATAAGTAAATAAATAAAAGATATTGTGTCCATGTACAACAACAAAAGAACCACAATGGCCCCTTGAGGTGTGGCATCTACCCTAAAGGCTACTTCAACAATTAAAAAAATCAAGATCATCTGACTCTGATTCTATCATCTAGTGCCCTGAGAGCCTGCGTGCACCCAAGCCAGTGCCTAAGCCGGTGCCTTTGCAAGGCCGCGCTGCTTGCTCCGAGGTGAATGCAGGTGGAATTAACRTTTGTTTTGTGCTACGGGTTTGTGGTAGACAGAACAGTGGCCCAGAGATGCTCGGCTCTGATGCTAGAACTGGAGCCTGCAGAGGGACCGTCTTCCTGGGGCCCCTGATTTCAGCCCACTCAGACTTCTGGCTTGAACCCTAATAAGGACACTTTGTGCTGGCCACTGATTTTCTGCTGCTGTGTGGTGGCACCTTTGAACTCATCAGAAAGGCACACATTTGGTGCTTGTCCGTAGGCTGCTAGGAGAAACTTTGGTTCTGATGTGTGGTCTTTGACCCTAGATCCTGACCCAGAGCTTCCAAGACCTTGTGACTTCGATAAGAGGTCTTTTGTCAGACAAAGTAACTCTTGGTGGCTTCCAGATGAGGGCTGGTCACCAGAARGACCAAGCTACCCGGACAAGCGTGGACAGTTCACCCCACCCACCCCTGCCCTAGAGGGGAGACAGCCTGGAAGTGCAGTTAGRTCGTGCCAGTGTGGCGAGGCCTCTGGTAGTCCCTGAGCTGTGGGGTTCAGACAGCTCCTGGGTCTCTGGGACATGGGGTCAGGAGGGTGGTTCGCTGCCCTGTGCATCTCCACCCCCYGGCTCACCTATGCCCTGTCATCAGCCTCTCGAGCGCCAAGCCMTGGAAGGTGAGAAGGGTCTCTGGGTCTGGGAGCATCCCAGCAAGTCACTGAGCCAGAGATGGAGGGCTGGGGAACCCGATGTCGCAGCTGGTTGGTCGGAAGTGCAGGTGACAAACCTGGGACCGTGACTGTCACCTGTAGCGGCACTGTCACCTGAAGTCAGTCGTGTAGGAACAGTGCCCCAGAGCCTGTCCTAGCTCCAGTTCAGTGAGGGGACTGGATGAGTGGACGGAGCCCTGGTGTCAGGGCTGGTGGGTCTGGGGAGACCTGCTCCTTTGTAGCCAGACTTGCAGGTGTTCCCATGGCATGTCCAGTCCCCTGTCCCCTCTCCCACAGGTGGAGGAGCGTCATTTTCTCCCACTCCACAGTAGCCAAAGAAGACTAATCATTGATTTTGAAAAACAGATTATTTAAGAAGTTGTGTTTTAATCAACAAAAGTGGTTTGAAACCACGCGGCTGTTGCCTTCTCACTGCACATGAATGACGGCTGCGAAGTCCCCGAGACTGAGGTCTCCGTGGGACGCCCCCGTGTGCCCCGTCCAACAGCATCCTCCCTGGAACCCCCAGCTCTCTCCTGACCTTCTTTCTCTCTTCTCCTCTCCTCTGCCCGCCGCTTGATCATGGCCAAGGCCTCCAGGCTGTCCTCCATCTTCTTCCGCTCCCTGCTCTCCCACAGCTGCCTCTCCTCCTTCTCGGCCGCGTACCCTCCCCGGGCCCAGGCCTCCGCGCAGGCCCTGAGCCAGGACAACATCGGGACAGAAAAGGGAGGCTGAAGGTAAATTCCAAACACATACTGTCTGACCCAACCTGCTCATCTTCTTCAAAATGAAAATGAAGGGCACAGAAGACAATGASTCGAAGGTCATATCCATACGAAAGCTCGCATACGAATGTTTACGGCAGTTTTATTCTAGTTGCAAAAATTTGAAGCAGCCTAGATATCCTTTAATATGTGAATATACAAGTTCTGGTACATCTGGACAATGAAATGTTACTCAAAGATAAAAAGAAATAAGTTATCAAGACACTTTGCAGGCCTGAAATCCCAGTGGCTCAGAAGACTGAGGCAGGAGGATCCTGAGTTCAAAGCCAGCCTCAGCAAAAAGGGAGGCACTAAGCAACTCAGAGAGACCCTGTCTCTAAATAAAATACAAAGAAGGGCTGGGGATGTGGCTCAGTAGTCAAGTGCCCCTGAGTCCAGTCCCCAGTACAAAAAAAAAAAACACACAAAAAGTCATGCGAGCAGCTTACATCCATTGCTAGTGAGCTGGGTGGAGTGGCATGCACCTGGGATCCCAAACACTTGGGAAGCTGAGGCAGGGGGATCACAAGATTTGAGTCTCAGCAACTTTTTGAAATCCTTTCTCAAAATAAAAAGTAAAAAAGGCTGGGATGTAGCTCAGCAGTAGAGCATCCCTGGGTTCAGTGCCCAGAGCTACACCTCCGCCCCCGACAGTCCCCAAGGCTACGAGCTGAGCAGCTCCACCTCCACGGCATCCAGAGGAGGCAAACCGGGACAGTGTGGGAGTGGAGAGGCAGCAGGAGGAGCAGGTATACCACGATGATGGGGACGCATGACCTGGCACATTCATCTAAGCCCAGAGTGTGCGACACAAGAGGGCACCCTTGTGTGGGAGGTTGTAACTGGTACCAACTTCCTGGAAAACAAACTATTTTGCAAGAGCTTTTCAAGTGTCGGACCCCATGTTTTAATTCAGGGATCGGGCTGGCTGTCTCTCAAGTGGGGCTCGCCTAGCTGGATTCCATCCCAGCACTGCCAAAAACATTCTTAAAGATTTTTTTTTTATTTTAGTGATATTACTAAAATTCCATCCAAACGATAACCAAGAAGTCCAAGCAATGAGGTAGACAACTGGTCTGCAGGGATATTTATCAAAGGAACATAAGAACCTACGAATAAGTGCTCAGATTCCCTCACGGGCAGTTATGTCGCCTTTAACCCTATCTGAAGAGTATTCAGTGATGTGTGAAAACACATGGAAACGTGATGCGAGAGATTTTAAAAGTCTAATACTTGGTACAATCAACAATGAAATATTTCAAGGCTCCCAAAGGCTTCTCTCTTCTTACCTGTCCTTTGGAAAAACTGGTCTGTCATCCAGGTAGGTCAGGTGCTTCAGGCGAACAGTGACTGTCTTTCGATAATTAGGAATGTGCTTGATAACTGGGTTTCCCATCAAATTCAGCACACGCTGCAAAGCAAACAAGCCAAATCAAACTGGATGGTTTACAAAGATCCGATGACTTTATATGGGCTGTGCATTAAGAATAACTCAGTTCAATCTATTTTGTTGAGCAAAAGAGAAGGGTCAGCCCACACCCTAGGGCACTGATTGGTGACGCTGGAAGGTTTTATTGCTTTTTCTCATCAGATATGTTCAGGTAACTAAGCAGCAGGTACCTGGGATTGAACTAAGGGGCACTCGACCACTGAACCACACCCCAGGCCTATTTTATATTTTATTTAGGGACAGGGTCTCACTGAGTTGCTTAGCACCTTGCTTTTTTGCTGAGTCTGGCTTTGAACTTGCAATCCTCCTGTCTCAGCCTCCCAAGCTCTGGGATTACAGGTGTGGCCACTACACTGGCCAACCAGCCCATACTTCTAACTCCAGAGCTCAGACCTTGCCGTCCTTCCAGGGAAAACACTTCCTGCGGCCCTCTCCAAGTGTGGCGACGACATCAGTTTTTCTACCCAAATTCTGACCGAAGCGCATTTCGGACTGATTGATTCTCTCCCTTCCTGGCCAGGACCTGCAGGTCACAGCAGCCAGACAAGAGGCAGTGATGGGGAGGGTGGACGCTGCCCTGGCCCACTGCAGACTGCCACCACGAGACCCTCTCCTGCAGACTTGCAGAGGAAAGGGGAAGGTCCAACCAGGCCAGTGGACGTCCTGCCCTGTCTTCTAACGCTCTTGCCTCCCTCCTGCCCGAGCCGCTCAGGAAGGTGAATGTGAAGGTGACCYGCGGTGAACCATTTCGACATCTGTTTGCCTAAACTCATTCACATCTTTCATATCTAGAGTGTTTGTGTCACTGAAGATAAATATGTTAAAAACCAGTTAGTTCAGCTTTTCCCAAACTCTATTCCGAGCCTCTTCACTACCTTGTCGAGGACTTACCCTCCACAGGGCACAGTGACAGGAGAAGTAGCCAGGGACGGGCAATAAACAGGAGCATAGTGGGGTGGGACTTAAAGCAAGTACAAACAACTATAAGGTGACTGCTTTGTTATGGGTGAATTGTGTTCCTCCCCTCAAAGAAACCCGGTGGAGTCCTAACCCCTGTGCCTCAGGATGTGACAGCATTTGGAGACAGGATTTTTAAAGATGCAGTAAGTTAGAAGGAGGCTGTTAGGATGGGCCCTAACCCAACCCAACTGGCATCCCTGGGAGGAGAGACCCAGATGCAGACAGCATACAGCAGAGGGACACAGGGCAGAGGCCTCCATCTGCAAGCCCAGGACAGGCCTCAGAATGAAGGCAACGCTTCGTCTTGGATTTTCAGTCTTTAGGATGGTGTGAGCCCCCCAGTCTGTACTTCATCATGGCAGCCTGAGTTAGTCAGCTTTCTGCCTCTGGGACAAAATACCTGAGATAAACGACTTAGAAGAGGAACGTTCACTTGGGCTCAGTTTCAGAGGGTTCAGGCTGAGTTGTGTGGCCCTGTACTTTGGGCCTGTGGCAGCACCGTGCGTCAGGGAGGGGGCACAGGGTGGTGGAGCTGCTCACAGCACGGAATGAAGGGCCAGCTCCAGAATGCAAAGAGGGGAGGGCCAGGTCCCATGTCTCCTTCAAAGACATGCCCCCCCCATGACTTAATTTCCTCTCACTAGGCCCCACTCCTAAAGGTGCCAAGTCTCCCGATAGTGCCAGCTCTTCAACACTTGGTCCTTTGGGGACATTCAAGATCCAAACTCTGACACAGACTGAGGGGGAAATAATATAGCTTTATATTCTCACCATTCGCAGGCCGTTTAAAACTGATCTTTCCTGACAGTCCACTCTGCGGATGGCCCCTGAACTAGGTAGGATTTGCTTACACTTTCTTTTGCAGTGACTCCCTCTCCACTACTTCTCCTTGCCCTAAGCAGTCAAGAACGGACTCCAGGGTTTTTCCTGTGAGCGTCCATGTTTAACACAGGTGCCGTTGACACTAGGATAGCTGTCCAGGGTGGCAGGAGCCAAGTTGAAAGGACACAGGAACCCACTGGAGAGGTTCTAAGGCTGAAGGCTGGGAAACTCGGACACCAACATTGAAAGGATAGGAAAGGTGAAATCATATCAAATGCTACACATGCAAATCCACGAGCTGGAGAAGGAAAAGCTTTCAATATCACCATGAGAGACTGCTAGGGTCTCGGCTGATATTGCCAAAAATTACCAYGAACAGGAAAGATGCAAACATTCATCCTGACCAATTCTGTATGAATGGCCCACAACGGGGGTGTGAAAGGACTCTGTAGACGCATCCCACCTGAGCGACCCAGAAGGAATAAGAGAATTAGAAATGGCCACTGTGTGACTCCCCGTGACACGCTCACCCAGGCAATGCTCATCAATGGCTGCCAGAACAGCAGAGAGAGAGACTRATGTTGAACGTCACAGTGGCTGGAGTGGCTGACAGCCTCCCAGTGCCCGATCCTGAATTTAGGAGAAGAGAGGCAAGAAGGCCCGGGGCCTAGAGCCAGGCGGTACAAGGACAGGGCTCCCTGAAAGGAAGATACGGAGCCTGGACTCATCAAGTCTGTGACTGCATCTTCATTCCACAGGGACTACCGGGGACAGCAGAGCGGATTCAATGACACCATGAGGTGCCGCCAGCCACCCCAGAACAGGGACACTGCCCGGCAAAGAGCGCCATTGCTCTGGCCAATGGATGGGAGGGTGGAAACAGGAGGAGAACTGTCACAAGTCCAAGAGACCAACCAAGAACCCGAGATCGCGTCTGAGTCTGGCTTGGACCCAGCCATCAGAGCATGTTTCTGAGACAAATGGGGAATACTGAACACGGACTGGGTACTAAGGTAGCGGTTATGATACTTTAAATACAGTAGTAGTGTTATGATTGTGCTTTTTACAAGTCCCCGCCAGAGGTTCACACTAAAATGTCATGATGAAATAGTAATCGTCATCTGGCATTAGATATTCTAGCTAAAAACACAAAGAGGAAGAAGTGTGGAAGAACAAAGAATGAAGGAAGGAGAGAGGGAGGGAGGGAGGAAGGGGGAGGGCCAGAGGGAGGGAGGGGGAGGGAGACCAGGAAGGGAGAGGGGAAAAGGGTGGGGGAAGACATAGGATTTACTATTTAAAGAACATAAACTGACACAAGTTGCCTTAATTGTGCTTCCTCTGGTTCTCACCAGGTCAGGCATGCTCTCCAGGATGCCCAGGATCTCCGGGTCCCTCAGTCTATTATGGGAAAGGTCAAGGACGCAAAGCTTTGCGCAGTCCCTCAGGTGCTGAATGTCCTCCACGGTCTCCAGGTGGTTGTGGGCCATCTGCAGTGTGTTCAGCACGGGGAGGCAGGCTGCAAGGGAGGCTGTGCAAGTGAACAAGAGGCTCCAAACCCTCCCCTCCATGACAGAGTCAGAGCTCCCCAGGGGAAAGTGGAGGACACGTGACCAAGAAGGCCACTGGCTGATGCTTACAGAGGTTCTCGATGGTCTTGATGTAATTGTTGCTCAGGTTAAGAGCATCCAGTTTCTGCAGAGGCTCCAGGTTCTCAATCTTATGAAGTAGATTCACTTGCAAGAAGAGGCAACGCAGTTCTGTTTGCGCCTCCAGGTTCTCGATCTTCTGTATCCCATTGCACTCCAGCCAGAGACAGCGCAGGCCCGTGTACTCCTGCAGGTTCTCGATGCGGTCAAAACCTGGAGAGGGGGACGGGGTGTCCAGTACACTCCTACTACACAGGGGCCAAGGTTACAGGACCCTGGTTTTTGCCTACTATTATGGACTGAATGTTAGTGCCCCCTCAAAAATCATACGTTGGGCGCAATGGCRCTTGCCTGTAATCCCAGTGACATGGGAGGCTGAGGCAGGAGGATTGCAAGTTCTAAGCCAGCCTYAGCAACTTAGAGAGAGCCTAAGAAACTTAGTGAGGCCCTGTCTCAAAATTAAAAACTAAAAAGGACTGAAAATGTGACTCCGTGGTTAACTGCCCCTGGGTTCAATCCCTCCCCCCCAAAAAAGGAAAGGAATGGAAAAAAAAGTCCTATGCTGAGACCCCCCACCTCCAGTGTGATGGTGTTGGGGGGTGGGGCCTCTGGGGGGGATTAGTCATGGGGGTGGAGCCCTCAGGAATGGGATCAGTGTCATGATCACAGAGGCCCCACAGAGCTTCCTCACCCTTTCCACTATGTGAGGACACAGAGGCGCCGTCTGTGAGCCAGAAAGCAGCCCTCAGCGGAAGACGTCAAATTTGGTAGAGCCTTGACCTTGGACTTTCAGCCTCCATGGCAGCCAGGACATCTACCCATCTTCCTCCTGTTGCCGCTTTCTCGGAGGACCATCCCCTGCTAAGACCCCCCCCCCATGGCTCCCTAGGTGGCTGGTCAGTCACAGTGTTTCATTTGGAGCTGGCCACACTTAGCCAAGTGGGACTACCTCTGATGAGTYTGGGGAGGTTTTCTGGCTTCACTGGACAGAATTTCCAGCCTGTGGGGAGAGMCTAGTGCTGGTGGAGCCGAGTACGCAGCAGCCATCTTCCCCTCGAGGCTGCAGTGCCTGGGGTCAGAGGTGAACCTGCCCTGAAAATGGACTAGCACCGAGGAAGATGGGGCCAGGAAGGACGAGAGACCCCCCGCAGAGAAGAGCTCTGGGCGGACCATTCAGCCAAGCCGGGGGAGCTAGGCCGTCAGTGGTTCTATGAGCCACATCTCTCTTGCCCGCTCTCCGGCTCTAACCCCGATGCCCCCGCCCCCCGCCCCATCACGGGAAAGACTCATTGCGCTTCAGGTCAGTCTCCAATTCATTCCTGTTCCCTCTGTCTGCCATCTGTACCACCAGCTGCCAAGGTCCCAGTGACATCCTGATTGCTCAGTCCCATTGTCAGTCCTCTTAGTCCTGACCAGTCTGAGGTCTGACCTGGTGGCCCTGCCTGCCATTTTGCAGCTTTTGCCGAGGCCTCTGGACCACTCCGCATGCCATGGCCATGGATCACCTCCTCCTGGCCTTCACACCTGTGTGTAATGGTGCAGTCAGAGCAGGGTTGAGAGCAGGTGAGGTGGCACTTCCAGACCTGGGGCTTACATCCTGGCCTTGTGCTCTCTTGGGTACCCCRCTTTGGGGGAAGCCAGCTTCTGTCCAGAGGCCCTAGAGTGAGTAATTGAGGTCTCCCCAAAAGCTAGGGAAGGCCTGAGGCTCACAGCCAGGATGTGGGTTCTGCATCCCCAGACAGTTGAGGCCTGGCTACCAGCTCTGCCACAGCCTTCCTGGGTGACCCTGAGCAGAACCACTAACGAACTATTCCTTGGCTTCTGGCTTCAGAAATAGTGTGAGATGGCAATTTGATTTTTGTATGTATTTATTTTTTTGCAGTGCTGAGTTTTGAACCTGGGGGCTCACACATGCTAGGTGAGCACTGTACCACAGGCCGTATCCCTAGCCCATGAATTTGTTTTCAGATTTGCTAAGTGTCAGAGTGATTTGTCACGCAATGGTAGGCAACTAGTGTAGGCTCCTCTCTCTGCCTGTTCTGCTGCCTCTCTGATTCTTTCTAATTGACCTAAAGTACTGGATCTTCTTCCCATCTCTCAGTATCGGTCCCCTGGGACCTGGCCTCCCACGTCATCTCCTCCACTGCTGCACTTAGATGCTGGCTGGAGAATTTGGGAGGCAGAGGCAAAAGTGGAGGCGAGGTGACCAGTTAGGAGTCAATCCAGCAACCACGGCATTTGTGCTGCTTGGGCCACTGTGTGCCTTCCTGGCATGGCACCTTCTTCCCGGTGGCCTCTCCACCCCCCCTGGATGCCTGAACCATCTTTGCCACACCTATTTCTGTATCCCCAGCACTGAACATGGGCCACAAAAGGCAGAAGACACTCAGTGAATAGTTACCAAATGAGATGAACAGATCCCTGACGGCTGCAGCAGGTGCCACCCCAAATCAGCACTCACTGGAAGCCCTGTTTTCTCTTTCTACTGCTAGGAAGAGCCCTGCCCGAGATTTAGATGTGATTCTGGACACCAAGCCCGAGACCTATGGAGGCTCTGTTCATACCTTTTCCTTCTGAGAGGCAGCCAAAGATCCTCTTCCTTTGTTTTCTGCATCAATCTTCAGTCCTTCCCAAGGTACCCCTCCCAAGCCCAGCTATTTACAAACTGGCTTTCTGTTTTCAAAACATATATTGTGTTCATCTAGCCAGTGTCCCCTTTATAAATTCTCACTGGTGAAGACTTCTGCTTGTTTTCACATAAATCTCCACTAAACTCAAGAGATTCCTGCTCAAGTCTGAGCACTGTGTTGATCCTTTTGCAACTGTTGATACGTTTTTGCCAATGGTTAAGTGTCTCCTTGTAAGCCTTACCTTTGAAGTGCAAATACAGAGTATCATTCAACTCTGGGGTGATGTAAAGCTTGTGTTGCTTGCAGAGTTTCTGCAGGAAATGTTTAGTCATTCTGTTAAAATGAAAAAGGTGGACAAGAAATTTCAATTTATCAGCTATAATTTATTCCAAAAGTTCTTTACTAATCCAGCCTATAATTCTAAGTCCTGTATGCCTGATACTTATTTTAAGTCCTCTTCCTCCTCCTCTTCCCCCTGCCTCACCTTGCTTCCTCCCCATCTTTTTGGTCTAGAATCAGGGACTCATCCAATATTGTTTACTTTCAGCATTCTTAAATACTGCAATGCATGTCCTAATAAAAATACTTTTAACAGTGTCATCAAGACCCACAGATGTTCTCTCTCGAGGTCTGACATTAAAGTTTAATAGCATGGGCTATTAGTTGTGCCACAGAAGTAGTGCCAGCCTGAGTCAGCTGCTTATAATTTTCAGGCATCAGGTGGGCTATTCAGTCTCCATGAGCCTCCACTTCCCATATAAAGGGTGATCGATCACACCATGCACTCTACTTGGCAAAAGTGCACCAACTGGCAGCTTGCCCATACCTGGGGCCCCGATCATCCTTGTCCTCTCTTGGGTGTGTTAATTGACTGTCTGATGCACTATCACCACTCTGTTTCTGCTGGTTTTGGTAGGCAGTGTCAGAAACACCCATGCATATTTCCTTAGGATCATTAATTTCTGCAAAATAAAAGAGATCCAGTTTATAAAGGTCAGGAAATGTACAAAAAAAATCCCCCTATTTCAACCTGATTAATAATTGTCTACTTTTGGTTTGAAACCATCAAAAATGTCCAATTTTTGACACACACGTAAATACTTTGTAAATTTTACTTCTAATTTGGTTCTCTATAGAAAATGTATGGGCGGGCTTAGAAATTGTACAAAGATATTTGTTTTTGCATTGTTTGTAACGGCCAAAATCTGTTAAACACATAAATATCTACACAGAGGGGGATGGTTATATATAATCATGAATTACTCTTCTGTCTTTGAAAGGAATGCACCAAGGGCTCTCTCAATCAGTATGGATTATTCTCAGAAACACATATGGAGTTGAAAAAATCAAGTTTCATAAAAAGCATAGGGTTCCATTTATATAAATTAAAAACATGCAAACCAATGCTATGCATTGTTTAAGGACACACGTGTAGAGAAGGAATTGGAAGAAACTATAGAAAATACTGGAAAAGATAGAAAGAGAATGGGATCAGGAAGCGGGGTGAGAAAGGAACATTGACTTTAAGTGAAATGTGATGTCCTTATCCAAAAAAGAAAAGACTGCATGTAAATATGACAAAATGTTAATCATTTTCAGTTTTTGGTGGTAATAGTGGATATTTGTTATAATGTTCTCTGTTCTTTTGTGTTTTAAAAAAATCTCTAAAAAAAAAACCTCATGAAAATAAAAATGGTGAGAATTCCTTTGGTATAAAGGACCTAAGCATATTCAAATACACTTTCTTTTAAAACAGCAATATAAATTGGCCAATTGAAATGTAGGTGTTATAAGGGCTGCTGGCTGTCATTCTCTGCTTTCTGTGGATCCCTGTATGTGGGGAGACTCTTATCCTCACTGATTCCTCACTGGTATCCCAAAGGAGGCACTGGATCCCTGTTTGTGGAATAAGGAATAGGTGCTCAATGTATAATTGACTGATTATAAAGGCCCCATATATGCCAGAAACTTTAATTACACTTATTTCTGTGTATCTTGGTATAATTGTCCCTGTTTAAAGATGAAGAGGCTGAAGCTCAGTGACATCAGCTCTAGGCCAAAGACCACAAAGCTGGGACGCTGACAGCTGCAACSTGAGTGACTGGGAAGTCTGGGACTGTCCAGTGAGCAATATTAACTTCCTATAGCTCCTCCTATGGTGTTTATCTGGAAAGCTGGTGCTCAAGATGCATTTGTTGATTGGGTTGAAAAAAAAAAAAAAGAAACACGAATTAACTAGTTTATCTAGTAGTCAGTGAAAATTTTCACTAGGGTCAAACCAGSCCATTCCCGGAGAGAACGTTCAGATTCTATCAGAATGGGATGCCCTGATGTCCGCTCACTGTCTAGAAGGGGAGACAGCGTTTCATCTTAGAGGGTGATAGCGATAAAAGGAGACATTCAAAACCAAACTTGGGAGGGAGGAGAATATGTGTTGGGTAAGGGTTTGGGCAAGGGAGTCACACTGCCATTGACTAGCTGAGGGCAATCATTTAAAGCAAGTTGGCTTCTTCATCTGTATGAAACCCAGGGAGGATGCAGAGGGCATGTGTGCGGCTCAAGTGAGAAGGCGCTTGGCACGTCTCCTTTAACGCGTTGACTGCCGTTATTACTATTACTATTACTATTATTATTATTATTATTATTATTATTATTGCTCTCGCGGGCTGAAGACCGGGTAGGTGGTGCTGGGAGCTGGCCCATCGTCCCCGGCCCTCCCTGGGCGGCGTTCGGCACCTTCTTTGCGGGCCCCTTGGCCCGCGTCCCGGTGGTCACCCGCGGACTCCTCCACGCCCGGCTCCTGCGCGCGGTCCAGCTCGGCCGCCGCGTCCTCCGCGGGCTCCGAGGCCTCGGGGTGCATGCTCGCTCCTCTGACCCCGAACAGTTGCTGCGGCCGCTGCCCAGCCCGGTCAGAAGCGCGGCTTTCCTTCCCCACAGACAGCGGACACCGGATCGTTGGCCGCCCAACGCTTCCCCGGTCGTCACGGCAACCGCTGCGCACGCGCACTCGAGCACGGGCGCGGGGCGGGCCTAGCCAGGTTCCGCCCCCGGCGCCTGCGCGGGTCACGTGAGACGCGCCGGCGGAGACGGGGGCGGCGGTCGCGTGGGTCCGGCGGGACGGGCTCCGGAGACTGCGCCGCTGCAGGTACCGCGCCCCGCCGGGTCCCCTCGCCCCCGGCCCGGCCCTCCCTCGGCCCCCGCCGCCCGGCCCCGGCCCTCTCCGCGCCTCCCGCGGGCCCCGCCCGCTCACGGGGCCGCCCTCCTCGGCGGCGCTCTTTATCCCGGTCCCGCGCGGCTCGGCCCCTGCGGGCTCCGCGGCCGCCGCCCGGCCCACTAGCCCGGGTTCGGAGCTGCCGCGCTCAGCGAGCGGGCGCCGCCTCCGCCCCGCGGSAGGGCAGGGCCGCGCGGGCGCCGAGCGCTGCACCTGCTGCCCCGGGCGGCGGGCGTGCACCTGGCGCCGCCGGCCTCCGCGAGCCYGCGGTCCGGGAGGCCGACTGGGCCGGAAGCGCAGTTCCCGCGTCTGCTGGGATGCTGGAGTCCGGCCGCCGGGTTGGAGAGAAGCTGGAGACCCGAGGAGGACGGCTCTGGGGGCCCTGCGAAAAGTCAGCTCCCCGGCAGCCGGCAGCGGCGTCAGCCTTGAATAGAGGGCAGTGCTGGCTGGTGGCCAGGGGCACCGAGCCCTGGGGACGGGCGCCCTTCTGCGTGCCTTTTATAGATTACCTCATTTAGTTCTCAACATCGTCTTAGGAATTGTTATCGCCACCTCCTCTTTAAAATTATTTTTTAGATTTGCGGTGCTGGGGGTTGAACCAGGGTGTCGCACGTGCTAGGCAAACGTTCTGCTGCACCCCAGCCCGGTTTAAAATAAGTTTTGACACAGGGTCTCCCTGAATTGCAGAGGTTGGCCTGAAGCTGGCCATCCTGCTTCAGGGTCCGGAATAGCTGGGCTTTACCGGGGCCAGGTTGGCCATCCGCGTTTTTGCAGATGGCTGAGAAAGCACCATGGTGGTGTAGCTTGAGCCCAACACGTAGCTCTGTGGATTCCAGCCCAGGCAGTCTCAATTCAGTCTGGTTTTARTCCCTATAGGAGTTATTCCAGGGGCATTAGGTTCAACAGATTGGTGATTTTTTTTTTTTTT